CTTTATATAGCTCAACCATTGCATCACAATAGAAGCATTCATGTGTGATGTAATTTGAGACACTTACTAAGTAATGGAAAACACAAGCACCAAAGTGTATCACGACTCTGCTCTGCGTGTCCGTCCTGCACTCACAGGTGTGTGTCTGTCAGCACAGCTGTGTCACCGACAGTCCGGGATGAGAGCACCACACATCAGACACGGGGTCAGTCCTCCTCAGCGTGACCGTGATGTCACACTTGTATCTGTGTGTGTTCACTGCCTCCCAGTGCTGGAAACACACTGGCCTAATATAGCCAGGGGCCGCGGGGTCTGCTGCTGTGCTCCCGTGTCCTGGCCTGGCTCGGAGCGAGCATTTGATTCTTCTGAGCAGTGCGTGCCATTTTAGTGAATGGATGACATCACTGTTATGTCTGTCCTTGTCCTTCACCCGCTGTGAGTGTCGGTCTTTGCAGAGGCAGGTGTGTGTGAGACAATTTATTTTACAGGTTTGCTGCTGCTTCCTAATATGTCCTTGAAGGTTTCCTGGATAGAACCAGGTATTTGGCGCTAAATACAGGTCAAATCGAGGCAAAGCTCTGAGACTGTTGATGTGTTTAATTCAGTAAGTTGTCTTGAGTTTGGTATCGACTTCCAGTGTTTGGAAATAACTTGAAGTGTACCAACCTATCACGCTTTATTTTACATATTATCCAGCTATTTCCAGGAAACCTTTTAGGGATTAGGACTTTCCCAATCTATAAAATAAAGCTTTAGCCCACTTCAGATTTTAAACCTGTCTTTAAGGACCAGAAACATTTAAAGAGCAGCATTTAAAGGTGAAAACTTAGAAGATTTGGACCAACAGAGAAATGTAACGAGCTTAGAACGAGCTGTGTGTTTGTTGAAAAGTACCGCGGTGCTAAGTTTAAATATATAGTACTTTGAAAGGCCATGTTCTGACATGTCTGTGAGAATATCTGTCTACAGCTGTCCACATGTTCCCATGTGCGACACACATAGCTTTACTGCATGGCCATGATTTGGTGTATTGTATGAAATACAGCTTGGCGCTGTAGAAACACAGCAGCAGGCCAAGAATGAATCACTTCTGAAAAATACCTATTTTAGTTTGGGATTTTCTTGTTCTCCCAGGAAGATAATTATTCATTTCACTCAGCTGAGGGAAAATCTGCCCCATCTGCATTTTACTGCACTGTGACTTTTCAAGACTTTACTTGGCAACTGCATGGAAACACAGCAGAGCCGTGTCAGGGCCGAGTCTCCAGAGCAGCATCAGGTCTCCTCTGTCGGAGGAGGAAACGTCCTCCTTCTAAACCAGATCCCCTCACGGTGTCCGACCCACGGTGTCCGACCCACGGTGTCAGACCCACGGTGTCCGACCCACGGTGTCCGACCCACGGTGTCGTCCTCATGAAGCCATTCAGTGACCTAGAGCTGCAGCCATCAGTCAGTTCACTGGTAGAAAATGAACCAGAAACTATTTAGAATCAACAGTCACCGACATGTTCTGGTTCCACCTTCTTTAATGTGAGGAGCTGATGCTTTTCTTTGTCAGACATGAGAATCAGCTGAGTCTCTGTGGATCTGTTGGTTGGGCACAACAAGACGTGTGAAGGCTACCGCAGTATTTTTATTTCAGCTTATTTATTCAGGATTTTCCTTTAATTTGTCACCCATTTATAGTTTGTTCTATTTAGTCATAATTTCTGATGTTACTCTTTAAATACTTCGATTTTTTGACTGGATTGTTAACAGATGTGCTACCTTATAGATCACATTCTGTAAATGATCAGCGAAACATTCCCTCTTTGTCTCTGTCCTGAATTCTTTGGCTTTATCTCTTCTATTTATCTCCGTGTGTCACTCTGGTCGGCCATTAAACTGCCTCCCGAGCTGACCCAGAAGGTTTCCCAGGCTGCTCTGCTGCCTGAGTTCACACCTTTTTGTCCACAGGAATCTCAGGAATCCCCAGCTTCCTTTCCCCTGCAATCTCCATTGTATGAGTGTGTGTGTGAGCCAACATGAAGGAAAGGCCCCTGACTGTGTCGTGCATGTGTGTTGAAACACATCTCCGCCCTTGTATCCACCCAGAGAAAGCGAGCAGGCGGTGCTCAGTCTGTGCCCACAATAGACTGAGTCACTTTCTAAAATGCCAAATCTCTCAGTTACTGTGAAGAAAAGACAAAATGGAGGGAATTTAAGGTTGAACTCACCTGATACAAACACCAATCATATTAAACCATGCAAATTACTTGTATGATTTTTAATTTTAGCATTATAGCACAGTGTTTGTCTCTCAGTTCTGCAAACAACAAATAAATAAATGAACAGGAACACTGTCACTGCCATTTGTCCTTAGGAATTACATTTTAGGAATTGTTTTCTGATGAACTAATCATAGATGAATCCTTTGATAAGGCCACATCGCACTACTGTTTTCATTTGATTAAAATAACCCACTTGTTAGGGAAAACTAATCATTTCTTTCCTAATGACTCATTGTCCTTGGCTGCATAACAAGATCAAGACTAATGTGTCTCATTGCTGCGGTTGGCAGGGAGCAGCAAACGGAAGATGAAAGTTGAAGTGACAAAGCTCCACACAGCTACCTGAAAGAAAATGCTCAGAGCAAACCTGTGAGAGGTGAGAGTGCAGCCCGTCAGACAGGAGGACAGAGCCCTGCAGGTTAATGCCGCCATTTGCCGGCAGCTCTGGAGTCACATCTCTCACCCTGAGTCATTCCTCACTTGTGCCCGCCTGCTGCCGGGCCTCAGCGGCACCCACTGAACACAATGAGAAATACACAGAGCCATTCACTGGACCGCCACACGACAGGCTGTGATTCACTCACACCCACTCGCTCTCTGTCCGCACGTGCCCGCCATACGTACACTGGTGCCCTCGATGCTGAAGCTGCTCACAGTCATTGTCTAGATGTGAGCGTGGTAAAACAAGGTTAGGAAAGGAAATGTAGAAACTATATAGACGGACACAAAGCCCTCACTTTAAGGTTCATGTGGGAAATGTTCTGCAGCTTTCAGCCTTTAGTATGGTTTGCCCAGTTGTCATACAATTGTTGATGTTCAGTTCTTTTCCGGTGCTTTTTTTAAAACAAAAATCCTCCTCCACTTTACCTTAAAAGTGTTCATTCAATTAGAGAAATAAGGAGTTGCCATTATTTTTATCCTCTTTACAAACACAAGATCCAAGTGACATAGATTGTTATGGATCTGTGCAGAGGATGAAGGGGCTCAACTTGGCATGAGATAGATTTATCTCCACAAAAATCTCAAACCAATCTGAAAAGCCAGAATCATCCACAAATCTACAAAAGCAGTGGATGATGAGGGGGTGTCAGGCCACAAGGTGTGGAGAGACTGTTCTCCAGGGTGACAGTGCAGAACAGAGATGTGTGTATATAGGTCAAATGTTTCTTAACCCAGCTTGTTACATGACTCACTGAGATTATTTAGAAAGTTAGAAAGGTGGTTCTCCGACACCACAACATGTGTAACGGGAGCGTAGCATGGGTGCAGCGTGGCCTTTGATGAGTCACATGGCCTCCTGTGAGTAACAAACCAGCTATGCAATTGGTGAAGTCTGAGACACCCATTCAAGACC